ACCTCGGAGACTTTTGCTATATTACTCAATACCTCTTCGGTAATCTCAGTGGAGCAACAAACACAATGACAAAGCTGAGGGATAAGGGGGTCGGTCGAGTGTATGCATGAGGCGTATGAAGAGTTGTGTTTAATCTCATGAGCTTAATGGTGTATTTATAGGGCTATAGCAGAGACCCTAAGGAGGTGATGATATGGGCTTCTTAAGTCATTGGGCCCAACTGTGGGTCAAGTCCATTTGGTTCAATAATTTAAATAATGTTTCAGTCCACTAACGAAATATTATTGCACTCTCTTATCATCCCCGAATTATATTTGAGACTCCAATAATAATTACTCAAATTACCTCCCCACGTTTATGATATAATGTCGATCAATTAATTCGATTACTGAAAAACAAAAATTAATTGACACCTTGAACCGAAACTAGTACCACTCAAATCTTTATTATTATGTATGAAATTAATCCTCCTGCAGGGTGTTATCATCCAACTCGGTAATCCACTATTAAGAGCCTTGAACAGTGTCTCAGGCAATTTAAACACTTACACCGACCTGGTCCGACATTACCCCGGTTCGCAGAACGAACCGGTATGACCATAGAAGACCGAAGTGACTATCGCCGACCGAGGTCATCCCTACCGAGATCAACACGAACCGAGGTTGTCACCTCCTAAAGCATGTGACAAGGCGCCTACATGCCATTCTCACAAATTAAGAGATCTGCTATTATTCAAGTGGGACCCACTGATCCTGCCGCCCACCAAAAAGTAGCTTTATAGAAAAAGCAATGCACGAATCCTGATATGTATCTCAAAAAGTTTCTATAAATAGCAAGTTCATAACACTTGTACGGGATTGGATTCTGGACCCGAACTTCTTAATAACGAAACACGAAACAGCTCACCGAAGCTTTTCAGCTCGGTTCACCTCGGACCGGGGCCATTGTTGAGTATTTCATACATACTTTACGTTCGAATCACCAATAATCATTACATAAATCCACCATTAAATCGTTGTTAACAATCGTATAACAACAGTTTGGCGCTAGAAGGAGGGCCTCATAAGTGATTTGAGGTTAATCTCCGATTCTTGTTTAGTAATCCGCATCAGTCGCTGCAATCATGTCTCATTCTGATCATCGTGGCCATACATCGCAAGATGGCCACAGTCGAAGTGCCGCTCAATCCGCCAGACGACAGGCTGTTTTCCCCCATATACCAGATTATACTGTTCTGTTCCAAAATCTAGAGTTTGCACGTGGGTTCGCCGCTCTGATGGCTCAAACAGTCCCGGGAACATCAACGACCGC